TAGGTCCCAAATATAGTGTCCTTTATTTTCAGTGGGGGAGTGTAACTAAATACAGTTACGCAAGTACTGTTTTGGGTTTGAGTACAAATTTGAGGTACTTTTCTTTCCATGCGTCTTTCTGCTCAACCACAATTATCTGACAGCTTTAGTTACTTTACAAATCAAGATTTTTGCAGCATTTCCCACTATTTTCACTATTTTTACAAATTAAATAATCGATTAACGGAGAAAAATAAACAGCAGATTAGTACATGATAAAAACTAGTGTTACAGCCTTGTGGTAGTATGCCTCCGTGAACGGTTCACGTCCATGTCGGCAAATTTTGTCATAAGTGAATGAGGTATGGCAAAGACGTCACAGTGACCTTGATCTTTGACCTTCAACTAGGGCTGCCCCGGAAGAATTTTCCTAGTTCACCAACAGTCCTCATCAGGGTCCGTCAGTGGACTAGTCTCCCGCATGTTTCTGATATGAATGTAATGATTAAATGATATATTTTGGTGGTTTGAGTTGAAGGTGTGAGAAAGAATAGTATCAGTAACATTGTTAACACTGTGCTACATTACAGAGAAATCCAAAACCGTACTAATGACCCTTCATTAATATAGGCCTATATTTTATCTACAAGTGCACGTCACACACTGAGCGAGCCGCCTGTTAATGACGCTGTGGGCTAATGGGCATGTAGCTACTTCCATGTTTCAGATGATGCGTCATGTTTGTAGTCGACCAATGAAGATGAGTTTACATATCACCTTGGGTTCGTCCTTCACCTTCTCAAAATGATCCCACACTTTGGATTTCCTGCCCGACATGTTATTAACTAGCCTGTGGAATAACCGCAGGTACCAGCCCTGGAAATTAACCTGACTCCTGTCTGACTGCTGAGCGTGGACACTTCCTGTGTCTGTCCTTTCAAATTAAAGTCACACATGGTCCAGTCATATATGTTTGGATTTATTTTGGCAAGGCGCAGCTCCTAATAGAGTTTCACTTTTGTTTTTTTTCTATGTGTATCTGTTGCGTGCACATTTTAAAACAAAAAGATCTCTTCTTATAGTTTGATGCCAGATGAACAACAATCGCTATTTCTTTTCGTACAAGTCAACCGGCCACGAAAGACAGCCCAATTTCATTCTATTTCTAGGGATGAAACTAAAGAAGAGATTAAACATAGCGTAAGTTCATATCAGGAATGGCATATTTAAATTTCGTTCTGTAGTCATGGACACATGAGGACTGTTATCGTGGCCTACCAATATCGTTTGGATCCTTAATTTCGTTCTGTCATCCAAGCTGAGTCAGGACTAAAGACAGATCAACTCTCAGTCATTGGGGCTTTTGCAAAGTTTACAAAATATAAACATGACAGTTGAATAAAAATCACCTCATTGGTTGATTGATCTGATGTATTGATCTCAGCATTGTCTAATGCAAAGTAGCATTTACTGTCTATACATTGTGGCCACCCAGTGGTCACTTGTGGGTACTGCAACATTTGCATCTCCAGTCTAGAGATATTTACTTGTATATCTATATGTGTCTCTCTCTTCAGCTTTGTTTGGGGGTGGTGATAATTTCATGTATAGTTTTTCTTACAGAAATATCACCAGGAGGGGAATTTCAACGTCCCCCAACCTTGTATAAAATTAGTTTGTCTACTTTTTCCCTTTTTTTTTTTTTTGGCCATTGTCCGATTTTCTCTTTACATTGAGGGGAGGTCTGTTTGTATCAGCCTGTGGCTTCTTGACCTCTCCTGACACATTTCTTATTTTTTCTGTGTTACTATTTGGATTTTATGCAGTTTTATGTGTGCAAATATAAAAATAAAAGAAATAAACTGAAGAATTGGACACATTAAAATGTTGAGCTGATGATGGTGCTGGATAAAAAGTCAGAGGATCATTGAAGTTATTTTAGATCATCCTGAGGGGAACATGACTGATGAACCACATTTCATCACAATCCATCCAGCAGTTGATATTTCAGTCTGGAGGACCAAAGAGAGAAATTAGCCTCCACAGAGACGTGCAGCTAAAAACAGAAACATGAACACTGACTGTGAGAAATTTGTGAACAGACGGGTGAAACTGCAGTTTGCATGACTTGAGTTTATTCTGTTGGCTGTAGAAGATATGTGACTTTAGTACCATTTTCATTTCATTTATTTATTTAAAAGGACATTTCACATTAATCAGCATCTCTGTAAATGTGCCAGTGTTAGCCATTAGGCTAATTTTCAACTGCAGACCAAGTTAGTTAGTTGATTGATTGATTGGTTAGTGCGAAACATTCTGATGGTAGTGACTCATTTGTTGACGAGTTGTATTTACTTTCGACACCTTTGAGTGAGTGACGTCATTTTGAAGGAGAGTGCAGGAAGTGTTGTTTTTGAGAAATTAAGCAGTCTTTTAGAAAATCTGTTACATCTGTCGCTGGATCTTTGGTTTTTGTAAATCAGAGACACTTGTGACTTTGTTTGAGCAGATTATCCAAATGTTTGCATCTATTTATTTATTTTTACAACAGTAGATCCATTAGGTAAATATAAATGTAAATCCACAAATCCAAATGTTTGAACCTTCACCAGCAGGTGGCAGTCATGCAGCACAAAGTGTGTGAAGACAAGCTATTATAGGAAATTAGTTTGTTGTCTGTGTGAACAGCTGATCAGTAATTTGAGACAGCTCATTAATAAGCAGTAAATCTGTTTATCAGCTGGGCTAAAACTCATTAATGAGACATCCATCATTTTAAAATTACATTTTCAATTTAGAAAATGATAGTGTTCATACTAAGCAGTTTGGACATAAGACACTTTCAATTACGATAATTAAAATGTTAATATTTACCACTAATTTATAATAATAATCACATTACTAATAACCAAAAATACATACAGAGTTATAATAAATCATTGATAATATAGTTGATTTAATGATGATTGTGATAGCCATTGGTTTAAAATTTAGTTTTCAGTTTGTTTTGTTATCAAACAGTTTGAACATAAAGCAATTTCAAATAAATTATTAAAATATTAATATATACTACTAATATTTACCATAATATTAAAAACCAAAATATGTACAGATTATCAAATATTTGATAGTATAGTTGATTTATTTATTTAATGATTGTGACAGCCATCAGCTTTAAATATAATTTTAAATTGAAAAAAATATATTTTGTTTTTCTATTAAGCAGTTTGAACATAAAACGATTTCAATTACAGTAATTTAAATATTAATATATACTAGTAATATTTACAATAATAATAATAATAATTAATATTATTTCATTATCAAAAATGTACATAGTTGTGTAATGTCGATGTGCTAATCGATTAATAGTTTAAAGTAATTTTTCAAGGACTTACTTTCAGGCAATTACTAATTAACCTCTTGTCATGTTTCATTTACATTCATTTAAATACCAGTTTGAGGCTGATAAAGGTCAAATTAATCAATATTTTACAAAAAACAGAGATTGGAGAACAACTGAAAACATGAAAACAAATGAAACTTCAGCAGCATTTATCTGAACACCACAGAGGGGATACAGGACTTATCTCAATACCTCTGTCTGTGGCGCCCCCTGGCTGTCAGTCTGTAACTGCAACAGGTACCACAGTGGAGTAAAGTGATGTTATGGCTGTAGTTTGGTTTGTGCTGCAAAATTATCATAACAAAATTTCAGCCGATCCAAGAGGGTATTTAAAGAGTTTATTTAGCTTAAGAAAGAGGAGAATTTTCTCAACACATAAACTAAAGCTAACTAAAGCTGTCAGAAAAATATAGTGCAGTAGAAAATACAGCATGTATCTCTGGGATGTACCTCAAATTTGTGTTATGTATATTTACCTCCTTTAAAAAGCACGTCTTGAGAATTAGGACAAATAGTGTCTTACCAAAGGGAAACAAACACAAATTAAAACTCATCAACACACTAATTTCTGGGGTGAAACATTATTTTTAAAGGATTTATTAATGAAATACATAAGCTTTATACAGTTTTCGCTCTTTGTTAACTTGTAAACTTGCCCTGTGCTGGATATCACCCTTGTCAAACACCAGTCAAAAATTCACACTCAATTAAAAAATGTGTTAAAAGCCTTCAAAACTAACAATATTACCTACTGATAACACTGGTGTAAAGAAATTACTGCTATAATCATATTTGTTTTAAAATATGTTTTTGTGAAAATATTAGGCCTTCAAAGATGTGTCTCAGATTTTTGTCACCGCTGTCGCATTTCTTCAAAAAGTTATTGTATAGTATTGCAAAAAAGGTCACAGTAAAGTAGGACAAAAAAAATCAAAGTATTGTATTTCATAAAGATTTTCCAAAGAAAGTTATTGAATAGTATGTCATAAAATCATCATATCAGAAGAGTAAGTTACAAGTTTTCAAAAAAAGGCAAAAAAACAAAATAAAAAAAAAACAGTAATGTATGTCGTAAAAATTTGTTAATAAAGGCATAAAAAAGTCATAAATATTGTTCTAAAAAATGACATATTATAGTGTGTAACTCCCTCTTGAGAGTTTTCTTCGCGTTAAAAGCCTTAAAAATTCCCAAACTACCAGTACGTACTGATAACATTGATGTGAAATGTACTTTCTATAATCATCTATTTAAAAGTACGTTTTATAAATGAAATATTGGCCCTTTAAGATGTCCACCTTTTGTCCACTCTGTCTGATTTTTACAAAACCATAATTTACTCAGGCATAAAAGACGTTAGCTATATCCTGAGGGACTGCTGTGTCACTTCCTGGTTTCCAAAAAGGTGAGAATGCTGCTCAAGTAGTAATTCATTTATAATATTGCGATGAGATGTGTCTCAACCATAACGGGTCAGCTCTGTAGCTCCTCTTAATCAAAACAACATAAGAATTACAGTCTTGAAAATGAAAATAAATAAATAAAATGGCTCCTCATTACAAGGATGTAATGCAAAAAAAAGCAGAATAAGCACAGAGGACAAACCACACAGAGACATCTGTAACAGAGCCTGTTTTTATTTTTGTATATTTTTCTGCAAAATACAAATACTACCACATTTCTGAGTGAGGGAGTCGCTGTACATGAGCTCTGACTGTGCACTTTGTTTTTTCTTCTGAGAAACATTGTCTCCAAGTGGCGACAAAGGCCAGCTTATGCCGCTAACAATCTCTTTAGAATATTAATCTCGTGGTTATTAGAAGCAACGTGTAAAGAGGGGAAAGATACAGAGGACATTCACTGATGTCAAACACAAGTAAAATAATTTCACGGGGGTGTTTTGAGGTACATGTCCAGGCAGTTAATGAAAGAATCAAACCAGAAACACAAACACTTTGGTTAGTGAACGCTCCACCTCCACCTCCACCTACACACGGCCTGAGGACGAGCTCCTGGCTCTCCTGTCCGTCAGCTTTGTTAAATTGATGAGTCGGGTGTGGTGCAGTTAATTTGAGCTGGAAGCCAACCGACCCGGAGACAACACTAATCATCATCAAAGAAAAGGAGTGCAGAAGAAAAACACATCTGGGCTCTGCCCTTTCTCAACAGTTTGAAACTAAACGGCAGGTTTGAAACTCGAGCAGCAACCATTTTATTGTGATCAGTGAATTTAGTCGCAGACGGGGCACAAACAGATCGGCTGTGGCCGAGGGGCTAAGCTCCAAATATACAGTTTTTAAACCAAAATATTCAAATGTGAACAACCCTCAGCCACCTCGCCGTCTCTTCAGAATAAAAAATAAAATAAAAACGCGTGGATATCAGTCAGCAACTACTCTGTTCAGGCTTTTATTGTGGCGGGTGTCAGAGCCAGCTTTTAGGTACAAGGCACAGATTAATTAAATTGTCCACAATGTCCTTGTAGAGATACAACATCAATATATACAGTGGTGGAAAGCAACTAGAACATTTACTCAAGTCCTGTGGTACTGTTTCCATTTATGATACTTAATGGTTTGACTTCTCTGCATCTCAGAGGCAAATTTTCAGCCCAGTCGCCAGGAGAGACTGTCGCCAAACAAACCACAGATAAATGACATTTGTGCGTTCTTATGTAGCGGATATTTTGAAACTTTAAATTCCAACAACGCTGTGGTTAATGTGTGGTTATGTTCAAGCACAAAAACCACTTGGTTGTTGTTAGGAAAATTTTGTATTTTGGATTAAATGCCCAGTTTTGGTGGCACAATCCCATCTGGAAAAGCAGCGACGCTTTGGTTAAAAACAGCTGGATTTCGCGGCACTGTCCCCGCTGACAGGGTGCTACCAAAAAAAACCCATGAACACAGGGATGACACTCTAAAACACAGCCAGATTTGTTGTTTGTTGGTCTAATCCAGTGGCCATCCTCTATCTCCACCTCCTCCTCCTGATGACAATGCCAGTTCATATCCTACGTCACTTTAAAAACTTCGATATGATACATATGAAACGTGCACGTGTAATATATCTGTGGTTTGTAGAAATGTTCAGTGCCATCAATTTTTTGGTGATGAGTGGAAATCTTGTGATTTTTACTGCACTACATTTATCTTAAATCTATTTGTCAGATTCAGATTTTATATACATTACAAACGGCCACTGTCCGGTGGGTGTCATACCGCTTTTAAGTGTGCCTTTGTGCATTGCTGTCTTGACACAGACATCCAATGGGAAAGTTGTGGTATATGACAAGTTGGGTTGTTGCCAGCTGCTTCTGAAACTGACGCACCAAGTGTGTATCATACTGCTGTGAAGGGTGCATTGGGTTGTAACGAAGCAGTGATGTTTGAGGAGCTGGGCGTGAGAACGGGCTTTAAATCCAGTTGTGTCTCCTCAACATAGTGTCAGATGTCCCTGAGTTATCAGTTCCACCAAGGAGCCATTTCTCCTAAACTTGGAGGGGAAATGATCCAAAGTTTTTCTAAAAAAAAATTAAAGATTAGCGAAAGGTCAGAAGGCTGAATATAAACTGGTGTATCAGAACAACTTCTTCTTCTTTGACCCCTCAGATTTATCTGGTCACCCTTAGGTTGGGAACCACTGGACTGAACTATACTTTTACTTGAGTGGGATTTTGGATGTTGTGTTGTAGTATTCTTTACATTTGTTGTACTTTTACTTTAGTAAATGATCAGAGTACGTCTTCCACCACTGCATATTTTAAGAATTACCACAAAGTAATTTGTCGTTTTGTGAGATTGTTTCAGTGATTGAATGTTGCTCTGACACCAGCTGAACTTTAAAGGGAATACTTTTTTATTTACTTAAAATCTCCCTGAATGTTCAATAGAAAATGTCGTGCACGTCTCTGCTTTTTATATTACTGTTATCTTATTAAATAGAGCTGCAGACATCCAAGAATATCAATTTGATATAATAAAGAATTCAAAAACACAACACTATATAAACTCTGTGCAGCGAAGCATCACTGTCCTGTTTGATATGGCTTTTAGGAGTGCAATACTCACTCTGACTGCTAGGCTAACCGCTAACAGCTAGCGCTCTCTGTGCATAACAACAAGGCCATGAGTGAAGTTTACTGATCACTCAAGTTTGGATGTGAGTTCTGTTTGTTGTTTGATACATGAAACCACAGGTGCGTTGTTTGTTCTTATAGAAAATGAATGCATGTTGAATTCGTATGGAAGCAAATAAAGGCCATAATAACTGGATTTCTTTTTGTAACCACCACAAAGAGGCGCAACGCAATCACTGAGACAAAAAGGGCTTGTTTTTCTTAATTAACAAGATTATTATCTCAAAATTGGAGAAAAGTTTTCAAGGCAAAAAATTCTGCTCTTGTTGTTATGAACTAATGAGTTGAAACAAGTCAAATATTTTCCTCCCATGAAAATTTTTCTCACAATTCTGATATAAGTTATTTCAGGGAAAAAAACGCAGAATTTTTTTCTCAAATGAAGACTGAATACTTCATGTTGAAATTTAGATACCTCTACCCTGAAAATTCAAAAGGCGTCAATAAGAATTAATATGTTTTAATTTACCTTCAAAAATGTCGTCATTTCAATTTTTGTACATTTAGAAACTAGATTATATGTCTTTGTTTCCATAACCTGAAGGAGTGGGAATCACCAGAGGATCCACAATGCCATATTATCACGATACTTGTGTCACAATACTATTTTAAATGTGTTGCAATACACTGAGCATTGTGATAAAATTTATTGCGATTTATTACTTTTGCAACTGTAAATTATGTCCTTAAAAGAAATGTTAGTTTTATCTAATAAGATAAAATTTTCAGTGTCTTCATGTCACTTCAGCCATTTTTTTTTACAGTTGTAAAGTATCTAATGGACTGAAAAAGCAATTGATGAAGTTTAAGTTGTATTTATAGTATTAATAATTTGTATAAATAAAAAAATGGATACTTGGGACTGTGTGATGATGTGATATTGCCACACAAAAATATTGCGAAGCTACGCTGTATCACTTTTTCCCCCCACTGCTAATAACTGAACAGAAGCACAGATATTTAAGTTAAATTTAAATTTGGATATCACCTTAAATTTTAGTGATGTGAATTGGATTTGAGCAACTTCATGTTTTGACTATGTATGTATTTTTAAATACTGAACACTTATAATTTGAACAATTTATTTACGGAATCTCAATTTGTAAACCTTTTTATAAAAACAAATTATCACAACTTAAAGTAAACTTTTAATAAATTCAGACGGATGATTTTCAAAGTAACATTTAAATGCCACAGTTCAACAGCATTTAAATTTGATCTTATTTTTAAATTTAGTTGAATTAAAATTTGCATTTTTGTTTCTTTTTAAAAACACAGCTCTTTGTTGCAGTTTTTCCATCCCTCATTTTTTATTTATAATAAATGTAATCTTGAGATTTTAGGGGGTCTGTGTTTAAATGTTCAGCTACTATCTACTCACAGTCTTTTCTTTATATTTAATTCATGTTTTATTTAAGGTGTGTGTGTGTGTGTGTATGTCACATCTCTTGTAATGGTCATATTGTCAGCGTTCAGTATTCAGTAATGGTAAATCTTCAGTTATTTCTCAGATAGGAATCTATTGAGCATTTCTTTGCTTCCATACTTTATTGCATCTGGATTGCAGTTCGCTGAAGATCACATTTTTGTTAACACAGCTCTGAAAAGTATTCACCAACTCTGAGTTTTCACATCAAGTGAAACGTATTTTCTCTGCAACCTGTTGCAAATAACTTTCTCATCACTCACACTAAAACCTCCTCAGTCACCACTCCTCTCTTCTCTCTCACCAGAGCCACATTCCTCCGTCTCTTCCTCTTTCCACACTTCCTCTCTCTTTCTGTCCGTCTTATTTGCCACACTTGACCCTCCATACGATAATATATAAATGTGCTATACGTTTTAAATGTGCGCAAATATGTTGAACCTGCAACACGGCGTGGACTGAGCGGTTCACGCCTGCTCATGCATGTTATTAAACCGTTCAGAGTACCAGACTTCTTCACTTTTACCTTTTTTGTTAGTTTGCATACATGTGCACATACATAAATTTGCACGTAACATATTTGTTATTTACTTATTACACCCCCACCCCCCCACCCCCCATCCCTGAACACACACACACACACACACACACACACAAAACAAGCAGTACATGTACACGACAAACTCTCTCCAGCCGCGTTAGTAGAAACATGTAGCGCAGTACATGTTCGCCTCAGAGCACATCCTGCACAGCCGTTTATCAAACTGCTCAAGGTCACATTTTGGACTTCAGTGAAAGAGTACAAGTTAAATTTGTTGAGTAGAAGAAGTCGCTTGATAAATGTTTTTATTCCTCTTTTTCAGAGAACTTTAGTGTACCTCTCAGCAGTTTGATAAACACTTGCCTGATGTACTCGCAGTATTTCCTCTAGTGTACATGTCTAGCTACAGTACATGTTGTAAATACAGCAGAGCGTCACTGTATTCATATAAAACTGTCTGACCGTGCCCCTCCTCTCACATACATGTTACCATTACACATTAAGCACACCCACTCAGTACAAGAAGAATATGATGATAATAATAATAATAATAATAATAATAATAATAACACTATAAGGTAACTTTACTAACACCCCTTCCTCCCCTCTGGCTGCAGGCCGGCTCCCATCATGTGGCCCACCCCTCTGATAGCCTCATCCGTTTGACTGACGGGCTGTGGCGCTCATCCTGATTGGACAGAGGTTGGAGAAGGAAGTTCCCGTGGTGATCGTCACGCTCCTCACTGCCTTCGTACGAGCTCCCGCAGCTGGACGCGCTGTCACCGGGGGAGCGGCCTGCTTCATTGGGGCCCCGGCCAACAGTGGAGTATCCTGCTGTGGTCACGCCGCCGCCACCTCCTCCGACGAGCCCTGTGCCGATCATGGTGACGCTCCGGTCTCTGGGTGGGGAGGCTGGCTCCGATTTGATGTGGAGGTTCGGGTGATGACCGGAGGACAGGTTCAGGTTTGAGTTCTGACACAAGTTCCTGGAGGATGAGAAAGAGAGATGACTTCAGTAAACTAAGGATGACAAGTCAACTTTGTCTTTCAACCTTGTCTCTCTTTTTCTCACAGCAGGGTGAAGACCGGTCTCTGAGGACGACCAGACATCAGCACAGAACCTACACAGACTTGAGGGTTTTAGCCGTGATGAACACACACAGGGACTCACCCCATGTGTCCGAGTGCTGAGTGCTGCAGGTTTTGTATCTGCTGTTGTTGCCAGCTCGTGACTGATCCAAGACCAGAACCTCCGAACCCGGACAGTGAGGACATGTCACTGCTGAGGGAGAACTCTGAGGGAAAAACACAGGAAATTCTCATCATTAATCAGATCCTACACAAGGAGGAGCCTCTGGTTTGTTACAATACTGTTGTGTTGTAATCACCTGTGCCATATGAAGAGGAGAGTGTGGAGGGATACCCGCCCATCACCTGTCCAGGTAGAGTCGGAGCAGCGATAGACACAGCAGGAGTAGACATCGTCTGAGCAGTCTGGGAGTGATTTATTCTCTGGTTCTGCAAAGTAAAGGGAAATCTGTTAGACTGAAAAAATACTTCAGTGTCTTGATCCTTTACTTAAGTACAAGTACAAATACAATTTTTTTGAAAATAGTCCAATGTAAGTGTGGTACTGCATTCAAAACCTTACTTACACGTATGTAAGGGTAAAGTTAAAGTAGTAATTGTCATAAAAGTCATAGTATAGGATGTCATTAATATTTTCCTAAAAAGGCTTGGAGAAGTCATAGTATAGTATAGCATAGCAATAGTAGAGTATGGCATTCAAACTTTCATGATATAGTCAAAGTATAGTATGTCATCAAAAAGAATAAAAAAAGTCAGAGCATGGTAAGGGATTAAACATTCAGAGAAGTCACAGCGTAGTATGTCATGAAACTTTTCCGAAAAAACGCATAAAATTTTCATAGTATAGTAAATCAAAAATTTTCTTCAAAAGAAAAATAAAATAAAATATATGATATAATACAGGGCTCAACAATAAGGATTGCCCGGTTGCCCGGGGCAAGTAAAACTCAAGGTCGGGCATGTAAACTAACAACTCACTTGCCCGATCGGGCAAGTTGCTAAAAATAGTAAAAGTTAATAACTAATTGATAAAATAAATGTATTTTAAAATGTGCTCCTTCTGCTCTGATGCAGCAGTCTCTCTGCCTGAAGACACAGGCACAGCTGTGTAACAATGTCCTGCCCACAGCCCCCATTGATATTATTTTGCACGACGGACGCTTCATATAATAACATAACAATATACTATTTATGGTGTTATGTCATCGTGTCATTTCTGTCTCTACATGGTCACGCGTTAACAATTCTCCTCTGCTCTCTGCACACGGCGGAGTTCCGCCACACACACAAGTGAGCACACTAGAGTGGCTCGGGCCGCATTTTCCTGACCAAACCTGACCCCGAGCCCGGTGCAGTTTGTCAGCTGACAAAGTTATTGTTATGGACACTGTGTAAATAACCATCAACAGACTGCTGTTGCGCACAGACAAACACGCTGCTCTGTGAGCAGCGTAGCACGGCACTCATGCTGAGCTTGTGTTGCGTTCAGGCGTTGTCACGTAAATAACAACTTCAGTTAACAGTCTTTGTTAATTGATAGCCGCTTAAATTAAACAGTTTTTATAGGGCAAGTAAAAACTGACTTCGGGCAAGTAGATCTCCTTAAAAAAAAAAACCTTAGCGTTGAACCCTGTAATATGACAAGGAAGCCATGGTATGTATGTTTGTCCAAAAATTTCATGAAAAAAGTCATGGTATAGTTTGGCATTAAAAAAGGTCAGTGTAGAAAGCCAAAAAATGTCCTTTAAAAAGGCACAAGACAAAAGGTCATTGTTAAGTATGACATTAAAATTTAAAAAAGAAATAGTGTAGTATAGTTTGTCCTAAAAAAAAAAAAAAACAACAACATAGGAAAGTCATAGTATAATATAACGAAAAAAGACTATAGCATAGTCAGAAAATATATTATAATAATAATAATAATAATAATATAAAGAATATGGAAAAAGTCATAGTGTAGTATGTCGTCCCATACTATACTATGACTTTTTTTTTTCCCCACAATTTTGGACGACATGCTATACTCTGACTTTTTTGTATGATTTGGGACACCATACTTGACTATGACTTTTTTTCACAATTTTGGACGACATACTATGATTTGGGACGACATACTTGACTGACTTTTTTTCATGATTTTGGACAACATACTATACTATAATATTTTTTTATGATTTTTGGACGAATCACGAAAGTCATAGTAAAGCTTGTCGTCCCAAATCATGAAAAGAGTTAAAGCTGATTTCTCTAAAAATCTGAAACAATATAAAGGAGAAGATACATGTTTGAAATGGCTGACTGTATGTTTCCAGGGTTTTGTTTTCTGTGTTCTCTTTGTTTTAAATAATTGTTCATAATGATTTTTTGAATGGCTGTCAATAAAAAGTTTCTGTGGTACAACTAATGTGTGTTCTTTTTGTTATAAATGACCTTAAATGTGTAGCATTTCGTCAGAAATCATGAAAAAAGGTCACAGTATAGTATGTCGTACAAAACCATGAAAAAAGTCATAGTACAGTATGTCGTCCAAAATGATGAAAAAAAAGTCATAGTATAGTGTGTCGTCCCAAATCATGAAAAAAGTTAAAGCTGATTTCTCTAAAGATCTGAAACAATAAAAATGAGAAGATACATGTTTGAAATGGCTGACTGTATGTTTCCAGGGTTTTGTTTTCTGTCTGTGTTCTCTTTGTTTTAAATAATTGTTCATAATGATTTTTTGAATGACTGTCAATAAAAAGTTTCTGTGGTACAACTAATGTGTTCTTTTTGTTATAAACGACCTTAAATGTGTAGCATTTAGTCCGAAACCATGAAAAAAGTCAAAATATATAGTATGTCGTCTGAAATCATGAAAAAACGTCATAGTATAGCATGTTGTCCCAAATCATAGCATGTCGTCCAAAATCATGAAAAAACGTCATAGTATAGTATGTCGTCCAAAATGATGAAAAAAAGTCATAGTATAGTATGTCGTCCAAAATGATGAAAAAAAGTCATAGTATAGTATGTCGTCCAAAATGATGAAAAAAAAGTCATAGTATAGTATGTCGTCCAAAATGATGAAAAAAGTCATAGTATAGTATGTCGTCCAAAATGATGAAAAAAAAGTCATAGTATAGTATGTCGTCCAAAATGATGAAAAAAGTCATAGTATATTATGTCGTCCAAAATGATGAAAAAAAAGTCATAGTATAGTATGTCGTCCAAAATGATGAAAAAAGTCATAGTATAGTATGTCGTCCAAAACTATGAAAAAAAAGTCATAGAATAGTATGTCGTCCAAAATCATGAAAAAAGGTCATAGTATAGTATGTCGTCCAAATGTGTTAATAGAGTCGTAGTATAGTGAACATTTTTCTGCCCTTCATTTATTTGACAGCTGTAGTTACTTTGCAGGTTCAGATTTAAACACCTATCAGCATATAAAACACAACTGACTGTAAATAAACTATCCAGTAATATGGAAATCAGCCGTCCACTGTATTGTTCATATTGTTTGGTAATCTAAGGATCACTTACCAACATCAGATCAAAGTCCTCACACTGGAGAGCAGCATTAAAACACAGACTACAGTGAGTCTCCATACAGAAATAACCAACACAATAAAAACAACATAAAGTAAAATAAATGTGGGTGGAGTAACGATGAAAGCAGCACTCACAATGGTGGGCATGTTGTTGCACTTGTTGGAGGGGGGCATCAGTGTGCGGAGGTCAGGCTTGCGGCTCATGCTCATTGGAGAAGGACTCTTGTCCTGCATGTTCTTGGAGACGCCTCCTGGAGACAGCAGCCCGGGCGAGGTGCAGTGGTTACTGTAGCTGCTATTTCCTGGTGACAGGTGGAGGTTCATGGTCCAATCAAGATTTCATCATAACAATAATAAAATTAAAGATGTAATTAGGTTTATTCCCCCGACCTAATATCAAGATACAATGCTGATTAATCATGAGTTTAACAGGTGTAATAAGACGAATAAAGCACAGTCTTACCCACAGTGGAGACCACGGTGCTCGGCAGCTCTGAACCCATCAGTCCTACACACACCAAACACAACACATGTTCACATATACAGACGTCATGTGTTTACGATTGTAATCTGCAGCATCAGAGTTTGATTGGCTGGCTGACTGGCTGAATCATAATTTGTGTTCATATATTGGTACCTGCGTTCCCAGTGCTGGAGGGCCTCTGAGGGGACATGCTGTTTCTCTGCAGGGAGGAGTGTGTGTGTGAAATGGGCAGCAGGTTGTGGTTACCTAAACCACAGTTGATACCAGGGTGGGAGTACAGCAGGCCGCTGGGGTTATTCCCCGGGATGGAGACGCCCATGTCGTAGTTGGAGGGCAGCAGACCCTGCTGGACAAGACGAGAGAGAGAGAGAGCAGCTGGTCAACATCACGAGACACATCATTATTATCTTGTCTCGTCATCAGTTATTGTATTGTTTTATTTATTTATTTTTTCATATGCCTCAGTCTAATCTACAGGGCAATTAGTTGCCAACTGTGCTCATCTACTTCAGTGATGGTATCTTATCTTTATCTTATTTTGATTCAAACAAAATCCAAGCTTGTACACAATAACAGTTCTTATAGATTATATATTGAAGCCGAATTGACAAGAACACTGTCGACATATGGCGCCTTTTATCTTGTGGTTCTAGAGTTGTGTGTTTTTGCAGACACGTGAGAAATTGTTAAAATTTCATATTTCTTAAAGGGAGTTTGGTGTGATATTTTCCACCAGGAGCAGGATGGGAAATCATCTAAAAAGGAATCCAGTTGTAGTCAAATAGTGACCCTACAAGATCCCCAGTCTTTGCAACATGTTATAGTGTGTGACTAGATACACACTTTGTCTTTAGATGTGAGAAGATGTACGTAAGTCTTCCAGTGTGTGGCAGCCTTATCTGCACCATGAGCTCAGACGTACCCATAAACTTCATCTCCGTGTTGAATCTAAAGCTTCTAAAGGTGGAACTTACACAGATTCTCTGTCTGTTGATCATCAGGTCGATGTCTTCATTGATTTTACGGTATTTGTCGTCTGACTCTGGGCTCTGGCCTGCAGAGTCGTCGGCTTCGATGTCGGGGCTGTCGCAGCCGTTTAAACCTTTCTTACGCAGCGTCTGCACACAAGAGCACAAACAAACAAACACGTCAACACATCTGGATAACCTGAGAATCATAAGTCAATTACCGCGCACTCTAGTTATACATGGAGATGACTGGCTCTAAGCTGAAACAATTAGTCGATTCATCAATTAATCAATAAAGAGGAAATTCATCTGAAACTGTGTCGATCATTCATGTGATAAATCTCATGATTCAGCACTACGAGTGACACCTTTCACTTCACACAGTCGTTAAAGATATTGTCGATTATAAATGAGTTTATTTACAAAATAAGATGAACACCCTTCTTAAAGTAAAGTAAATAAACCAACATCAGTTAAAATGATAAATGCTAGATTGCAAAAAACAAAACAAAAAAACATGATTTAGGTCACTAGATAAAAAGACATATCCGAGATATCTGTTTTTGCAAATGAACCCTTCAAATGCTTCAAACATATCTGTCACTGAAATAGTAAAAAAAAATATACTGGCTTCAGAGTTGAGACAATTAGTTGATTAGTCAAGGAAATTCATCTGCAACAATTTGAATGATCTATTTGCAGTTTTTTTTTTTTTCAAGGTAAATTACCAAATATTTGCTGCATCCAGCTTGTCATTTTCCCTGTCATATTTTTGTCAATGTTTTTTTTTTAAATAATTTTCTTATTTAACAGGACATTGCAGAGTAAAGAGGTAAAAGTTAACAGCAGGGGGAGGACACAACACCAGCAAGAGAAAATAAAAAACATGGACTAGGCTAAGTTATTTTTTTTAAAAAGAGGAAAAAAATAAAAATAATAATAATGATAGAATAAAAACAAAAACAATAAAGTTGAATAAACACTCTCAAACAGTGTGCTCTGATGCCAAACCAGGTGTGCTGTAGGATATTTTTTATCACAGCAATATTCAACTGGGCCTGTACAGAAAGTTATGAATTAATTTTTAATTGACTGTGTCAGTATGTTGTGCACACCCGTGTCCTAATAAAGAGGCAAACTCTGGCTAAAAAATGTAATTTAATTGAATTTAATTTAAAGAAACCTTCACAGGGAACTTGTCTGTTGCCGTTCGAGTGTGGGAATTATTAGTGTGTGACACATCTAAAGCCCTGAATGGCAGGGATGATAATATTTAAAGGAGAAAGCTGTGAGAGGGACGATGGATCGCTTTATTGTACGGAGCAAATTACTACAAAGCACCAGGGAAGCTGAAGAGAAAAGAAAACCACTGCATTCATGCATCAATAATTATAATCCAATTATTAAATATATGATTGTGAAATGGACCACTCTGCATAATTAGTGCTTTTACTTTGACTGATTTAAGTATATTCTCATGCTCATACAGGAGGTAAGTTATTATAGAAACCTTTTAATGCACAAGTATTGTTTGTAGAGTAAAAAACAATGTCTGTTTCAACCACAAGAGGGCGCCATCTGAGCAGAAATCCATCGAAGAAACTTCACAGTATGTTAGACGCAAGACTTGGAACAATCAGACCTAAAACACTGTTTTAACAAAGTTGATCAAGAATAACTTTTTGTGATTTTAACGTGTAAAAATAGAAATGAATGCAGTGTGGATGTGTCAGACGTGTCGCTGTGTCTTCAGCTCAGTGCTGTGAAATCTCTCCTCTCATGCAGGCATCAGATGATGAAGGTGTGTGTGTGTGTTTGTTCAAGGACTTCACTTCAATAAAGTACTTCAAAATGTTACTTGAGTATTTCCATTTTCTGCGACTTTCTGCTTCTACTCTGTTACATTTATTACATGACTAGTTACTTCTGATTCATATTAAGGTCGAGGATAAAACTTTATTGATCCTGGGAGTAAAAAACAAGCTACTGAGGAGAATATGAAGTCATTAAACTGAGCTCCACCTTCACCAGCTGCAACATTAAAGTGATGAACACATTAAGTATAATCCAGTAGTATGATATATATTAATCTGCATGATGAGTGGTTTTAATTTTGCTACTTTTACTTGTAACAGAGTATTTCTACAGAGTGGTATGGATACTTTTACTTAAGTCAAAGATCTGAGCACTTCTTCCACCACTCTGTGTGCATGTGCATGTGTGTGTGTGTATACAGTATGTGGTTTGGCTCTCAGCGTCCTGCTTCAGCACTTCACAGTCCATTAGTCCTGTCTGTCACTGGATGACTGCAACACACACACACACACACACACACACACACACACAGGGCTCAGCGGTTGGCCCAGTCCAGCTATCCCACTCATCCCAGTCATGTCCACCTGTTTGGCTTTAGAGAGAAGGAGGGGTCGGAGAGGGGGGGCGGGTCTGGGTTGAGAGGAAGAGGAGGAGGAGGAGTAGGTGGAGGGAGGGGGGAGAAGGGTGAGGCAGCAACCACCAATACTAGCATGGCTCCTGGAGGGATGGCCCTAGAAGGCTATTTTTTGCTCCGCAGCGTTTCTCGTCACTCCCTCACAATCTGTCAATCTGGCTCGTCTATTAAAACAGAAAACTGACGGCACCAGCCTACTTTCCCCGCTTCAACCACACACATGCGCACACACGCACACACACACACACACACACACACACACACACCCACTCCTTCCTTTCTCAATAAAGAGCTAGTCTGGTGAGTTGAAAGAAGTGTTCAGATTGTTCCTTTAAACCTAAACACAACGCTGACATACAGTGGTGGAAAAAAGTTTTCGGACACCCTTAAAATTTTACACAATCTCAAATATTATCATGAAATATTTGTGGAAAAATCTTTTTTGTGGTTCAAAAGGTGTGGCTGCATTAGACAGATACAAACAAATACAAATTATATTTTTTTGTTTATTGTTTACAAGAAAAACTAACAAAACTAAATTCTTGACAGTTTCAATATGTCAGTTTTCAACATTGCCGGTATCAGAGTCAACAAATAACAGAGAATGTGTTCAAAACTGAACCAAAAATGAATAAACCATCATATCATCAAATTAATATTTAGTAGTCCTGCCATTGGCACGTAGTAGAGCTCTAATCCTGGCTGGCATGTTCCCCACGAGCCTTTCACACTGTTGAGGGGTAATCTTGTCCCATTCTTCTTGAACTACTGCTTTTCATTCTTCTAAATTCTTTGGTTTATGCTTTGAAACAGACCTTTTGATAATCCAACACAGATTTTCAATGGGGCTCATGTCCGGGGATTGAGCTGGCCACTCTAAGACCTGGATACTGTGCTCCTGCAGCCAAGTTCTACTGGCCTTGGATGTGTGGCAAGGGGCATTATCTTGTTGAAACATCCAGTTTTTACCTCGACGGAACAGTGCACGCGCAGAAGGGAGCATGTGGGTTTCGAGAATGGTACAATACTTGGTAGAGTTCAATGTGCCATCACAGACAGTGAGATGACCAACACCAGCAGCACTCATGCATCCCCAAACCATGATACTGCCTCCACCATGCTTGACAGTAGGTACTGTACATGCTGGAGATAATGCTTCGCCTGGCCTTCTGCGTACCCTCACATTAGTAGGAGGAAGATAAAGCTGGAAACTGGACTCATCTGACCACAAAATCTTCTTCCAATTCCTGGCTGTCCAGTTCTTGTGTGCCTGGGCCCAACAACGCCGGGCTAACTTCTGTCTCTCATTGATCAGGGGCTTCTTGATAGCCTTGTAGGACCTTAAGCCATGATCTAAAAGTCGGCCACGTACAGTGCGGGTGGAACACTGGACACCAGTTTGGTTTGGCCACTGCTGCTGAAGCTCCTGTGATGTCATTCGGTGGTTTTGCCTGCACATGCGGATCAGGATGCGGTCATTTCTTGCTGAAGAAACCCTTGGACGCCCAGATCTTGGTTTGTCTTCCAAGCTGTTGGTTTGTCTGTATTTCTGCAGAGTGTATCCAACTGCTGAAGGAATGCATCTGCACTTCCTGGCTATCTGGCGGCAGCTGTAACCTTCCTGGCTGAGAATCTTTATCTTCAGGTGTGTTTCCTGCGTTAGGTTCCTTGTTTTAGCCATTTTTGTGTCTGAAGAACTTTCAAATGTGCTGGCTTTATGCAGACACGAAGCTTGGCAACAAAAATTATGTCTTTTAATAAAAAGAACGACCTTCATCACTGGTACCAAAATGACCCAATACTCAAAATTTCTTATGTATTTTTATGGAACCAATCAATTTTAAGTTTTTAATGGCTTTTTTAGGATTTATTTAGTATTTTGGCTGTGACTGTACTAAAAGAAATTGCACTTGAAGACCTAAGAGTGATTCTTAATGCAATATTTCACAAATGCATGGGGTGTCCGAAAACTTTTTTCCACCACTGTATCATCACCTCGTTAAAGCTCCTCCTCCACCGGACAAACAACTCACTAACATCTGGCTTTCATATTTAACAGGAAAGGTTACAATCAGCATTCCTTCTCTGGAGAAATGACTCGGCAGTATTCGCGAGTATTTGCCGGCTTCAGCTCCGAGTGGCTTCGATCGGCAGTGATGGAAACACAACACCTGGGTGGACGCACTAATTTTAGCCCCTTTGCTAGCGCGATGCCGCCACAAAATACCGTCCATCTCTGTCCAAGCAGCACCCGAACATTTTTCAAAAGTTTAAGAGACTGAAAAAGTAGGAGATTAAAAAAAGCAGTAACCGTCGTAACATTTTCGCCGGCCTCGTCAAACGTGACAAGCCAGAAAACAAACAGAAGCCTACTCGTCTGCAGTTGAGCCGTGTACACAGCATCTACTGGCAATAGGAAGCAATCTGTCGCCTAATTTCAGCGAGTTTTCCCACGTTTAAAACGTGCTAATTTTGGTAGGAAAAGGGTTTAAGGTTGAGTTGAAGTGTTTTGTTGTGCGTTTTTCTTTTGAATCTAATTAAGCAAAGTTTTGCCATTATCCTGCACCCGAATATATGCTAACGTTAGCTAATGTGCTAAAAAGTTAGCATTCCAGAGAAATCCAATATTCCTCTTAATCCCTCCCCAGTTTCTGATGAGGTGGACATGATAACCCTTAATACAAATAACCTTATTCATCCC